AGGATATATCCTCCAAAGCTTCCCTCTCGAGTGCATCCTCGGTATCTCTTGCCACCATTTCTTGAATTCCCATAGCATGTGCCAATGCCAGGACGAAAAAATCAATAATAAATCCGGACATGAACTAACGGAAGATATAATAATAATAATTAGAAATATTTTTATATGATATGATATATTTGATGGTTTTTATTGTTTCATTTTTTATTTAATAAGTTTACTCACCAATTCTATTATTGCAATTAATATGGTACCTTGACGAAGAGTGAAATAGCATAAACAATTTTTCAACAGTCCTACCTTCATCTTGACTCAATGAAGTTTATTCAATCCTATTAATAAAATAACATAGAGAGAATATAAAACATTATAATAATAATTATTATCATATATATTTTGAGATCATTTTTTTTATTGAAATTTGTATCGATGCGTATTTTTTATTTTTAAGATCACTCTATACTTTTATTTATTTTTATCCTAAAATATTCATAATAAAAATAGCAAGGGAAAAAGAGAAAAGTATATAATTATAAGAAAAAAAATAAAAAAAACAAAATTGTAAAAATCGCAAAACAAATGTTAAGATAGTAAAAAGTCAAATATGTATCGAAACGCAACTTACCCCTTAGAATAACTAGACGAAAATAATAATATTATTATATATATTCGAAAAAATATGAACTGTTAATAGTTGAACTTTCAATTTGGTTGCACGTTTCCACCAGGTAAAGGAGAATCAATAACTTTCCACTATATTCTGACACGATAACAAAACATTCGACGACTTGATGAAAACTCCGGGTACACTTTTTCAGACAACAAATTGAGAAAATATTGTTACGTTTGAATTGACGACAACGATGATAATGACAATGATGATGATGATGTTAACGATAATGATATAAAGATTTGTATTTCTTCGGATATGTTTCGTTTGAAATGAACGTTAGATTTCAACAAAGGGTTCATTGAGTTAGATTTTTTAACTGCGTGTTACTGATGCTGCTGTTATTGTTGCTGTTATTACTGCTGTTAACACCGATTAATGGAAAACGGAATTTTCTTTGGCTCGTCTGTAGGAGGGCGGCTGGGTTAGGTGGAAGGTGAAGGAGAGAAGGGTGGCCAGGAGTGTAACTAGAAAGTTTCCCTCATCCTTAGGGTAACAACTCCTCCTTGGCCCTCTGTATCTTTCTACTGATCATACTGATTCTATTACTGGTGGTGTTATTTTGCTTGCTTGCTTGTTCACTTGGTAGTCACTTGCTTGCTTGTTCACTTGCTTGTTCACTTGCTTGCTTGCCTGCTTGCTGATCTTTAAGCCTTTTCACGCGCAGACGCATCACAAACACTGCATCCTTCGAGAACTGCATTTCGTTACGATCGACCACAACCATTCATTCATTCTTCCTTTTATCTAAACGTATATAACATTTTAAAGTCTGATCGGGACAATTTCTTTTACGTATAACTCCGATCGTACATATCGATTTCTTTTCCTTTTCCTTTTCTTTTCTTTTTTTACAATATTTATTTTATAAATGTGAAATTACGAAACGATATTATTAATAGTTTTATGTTATTACTAGACGGGTAATTGGAGGAGTGACAAAATATTGTCATTGTATTTAGTATGGACAAAATTATGGAATATTAGAACGAACGAAATTGAATTGGACAGAATTTGAAATAAATATGTTAAATTTATAACCATTTTTTTGTTGTTATAGGAAAGAAATTTATTATTATGTTATATTTATAAGATGCGTTTATATATAATGTGGAATAAGTATTTCTATGATATACGCGAATTGGTTGAATTGTTTTTGAATTTAACATATGAAATTCTTTTTTCTTCTCGATCAAACTTACTTTTAATTAACAAAATACAAATAAAGATCTTGTTTTGTTGAGATTCGAAACTTTTTAACTCCCGGCCCGTACAATTTGTCTATTATGTGCTAAAAATATATTAATTATTATAGAAAATATAGCGTTTTCTTACTACAATAGTAAAAAATAATACGAAGCAAGCTATTTGCAATACTTTTTTCTTTTTGTACCAACGCATGCGTTTTACACAATTTTCTTTCAGTTTACGATATTAAAATTTGTCGTTATATATTTTGTGTACGCGTGATACGGGGATAATTTTTATTTATATTTATTCGTAGATAATTAAARCATCTTATCTTAATTTCGTTATGTAAATTGCATAGTAGTTTCTATTTAAAATCATCAAGATAACATGTATAATTTGTTTTTTTTTCAAATTATTGTTATTAACATTTGATTCACCGTGTATGAAGCTGATAAAATTTTAGAACTTATTKATATCGGGTATAAAATTTGATCGAAAAGTTAGTTCGATCAAGTTGAATCATCGTGGTTGGGTTGGGTTTCAAGGGCGGAAGGGGGGTTGATGTAGTCATAGAAACGTGACACGAGTTTATGTCATTCGTTCGATCTCAACTCGAAAAGATATAAATGTGATCGTACCGGTTTCTTTGATTCGTCATTTCGTTTTTAACGCGAATTCGTTTGATACATCTTCTATACGTTAGTGGAAATTAATTTTTCTATCAGTATATCCAAATTAAAAAATTCCAAATGGAACGAAATTATCAAAAGGTTGGCATTGGTGTTGGTGCATTTCATAATCCACCTAGAGCAAAATACAGCGAGGAAACGAAGAATTTAATCAAACGTGAGTCAATTAATCAATCAATCAATTATTTAATAAATTATATTAAATCGTTGCTTATATATCTCATAATTTYATATTACAATTGTTTAGTTAAATTAATTTTTTATTATCTATCAAAATTTTTTTTACAAAAGATATTTGACCGATAGTAACCTCTCGCGAATGGAAAGGATTAATAATCTTATTAATAATTAATCATTAATTATAATTAACTTCTATTTTTAATATCCTCATATATATATATATGTAAATATTGATCTTTATTTGAATAGTTTTGAATCCTTTAACAATTACTTTTGTCGTTAGTTTTGATGGAAGAATCGAAAGTAGGCATGAGTCAAAGAAAAATTATTCAAAAGGCCATTGACAAAGGAGAATCTCTTCCACCGCCCCATAAATCTATGGAGGATACAAAAAAATCTAAGGAACCTCAGGTAAACGTTTATGTATAAATCGTTAAATGATTTTTTTGTTGACATTTTAATTTCACACACGCACACACATCCATATACTGTGATTTATCGTAGGTGATATTTCCAAGTTTGTGGAAGAAACGTTCGCAGAGTATGATACTCGGTAGCGGTGCTTACGAAAGGGAACAATATCGTCGAACTGTGCCCTTACGTAAGATTTTTTTGAAATAATAAATGTTAAAAATTGATATAAATTGTGTAAGATTTTACATATTTGTGTTCGTAGCTAACAAGGAAAAACAGAAACGTCATTTGGCTTGTTTAATGGCTTACGGGAAAGAAATGCCGGAAACACCTCATGGACCAAAAATTCTTCACAAAGCAAAAAGAGAACCTCGATCTAATCAGGAAGATAACTTTGAATACGGTATAATTTGATTAATTTTTTTCTCTCCATATTTTAGTTTGTATTTGAAATCTTTTTTTTGTTTTGTTTTTCATAATAAATTCCTTTTGTCTTTTTTTTTTCTGTCATAGTTATCGAAGGAATTCGCGAGAGAATAGAATTTTTGAACGACATGGAATGCCTTGGTTTGGGTAAAAAATATCGACCTTTAATACAACAAGAGGTCGCTCAAAAGATTCGTTTTATAAACTCCATTGATAAGGAAAAATCTACGGAAGTATTAAAAGAATTAGAAAAATTTCAATTAGAAAGACCACCTCCTAGACCATTCCCTTTGGGAGATTTAGATGAAAGTTGAGATATAACTTTTATTATTTTTAGTATATATATATATTGTGCATATATTTATATTCAGACGATATTAGATTTATCGAAATGTAGGTAGTAATCCATGACGTAAAATGATATTTTTTAATATATCACAAATTTTCGATAGATTTTAACACTTGTATATATTTATCATAAATTAGAGTATAAGATATATTTAACGATGATAAATAATTATTTTATATACATAAGAATATTTTATAGCGTAAGAGACATGTATATATAATGAACAAAAAAATAATATATTTTTTAAGTATAGAAATTAAACCAATGACTCTTACAGTTGAATATAATAAAAAGTATTAGAGAAAATGGATGAAAAATAAAGTTTATAATATTCGAACTGGAATACTCGTGACCATATGATATACAAAACTGGCGCGTTGTAATTTGATTGGTCGATATAGTTCGTGCGCGCGCCGCAAGATTTCGCCTGAGTGGCGGGAGAAATAAGAACACTCGCGTCGCTTAAATTCGTATTGGTCCCCTCAGTTCAGCGCCATACGGCAATGGCGAACGGTGTTAATCGTTCTTATCATCATCGAGATCTCAATTATTCGAAATATTTAAAGCCGGGGGGGGTATTCGTGGAAGGCGACACGAGTGGTTGCGCGTATCAACGATTCACATGTACAAGTTAAAGGAATTCTAACCTAAATAATAAAAAGAAAAAAAAACGTGAGTAGGACATAGAGGAATCGTTTGCGATCGGCTTCCCGGATGATCTACCAGTGAGAGCCAACATGGCGTCAACCGATCTGTCGTTCGGTAAACGATGAATTTTTGTATCTTCTAAAGATTTTCTCTCCCTTTCTCTCTCTCTCTTTCTTTCTTTTTCTTTCTTTCTCATTACTTTTTTTTCGGATTCGAATTATTACATTAAATTGTTTTTTCTTTTTTTTTTTTGTAGGAATACTTTAAACACGCGCACTCGCAAAAATTTAATTTCCAACTAAATTATAAAACAATAATATGCGAACACAAATCTGTCAATAATTTGTCTCGTTTTTTCTTTTCTTTTTTTTTCCCCTTTAGATCGGCTTCACAAATAACTGAGATATAACATTATAATGTGTTTTCCGGTTTCTCCCCCCTCCCCCCCTCATCCCCTATGGAATTGTGCATAAAAAGATAAATAATAAATGAATGATTTAAACGTAGGAATTTAAATCCGTAATTAGAAATTACTGGAAAATGATACGGTCTCGGGTTAACGTAATTTACGTACGTTTGCGGAAGTTCGTTGAAAACTGGTTTAAAGTGGTCTATTAAATGTCATCAATTGGTCATTGTTGCTTAATCTTAATTCTTTCTTTTATTTTTCTCTGTCTCTCTCGCTTTAATTCTGTTCATTTTGAAATCTAGAAAAAATTTGACTTTAAAAGTTAGGTAATTTCGATGAATACATTTATGGCATTTATTGCGTGTCTGGTATTTACGTCAGGAATGGTCTTTTTTATTTTTCTTTTTTGACCATCGGAATAGTTACATTACTCGGAATTAGTTAAACGTTATCAATCGAGATTTCTTGGAATGTTAATAAACGTCACTTTAACATTTACGTTCAAGTACGTTAAATATTAATTAAATGAATATCATTTCAAATTTATCTAAACGTATGTTCGACAAATACGATCGTTTTGGGAATAATTTGATCAACCCTTAAAAAATAACAAGAATACAAATTTCAATAGCTTTTCTCCTAATAAATTCGTTCAAATTTTTATCATAGAAAAATTATACTTTGTCATAGTTTTACTCTGTTTTTTTGTTGTTGTTGTTGTTTCAATCAACTAATCGATTAAAATTACAAATTACAAATGATTGACTTAGGAAAAATAATTTTGGAAGTAACAAAGGTGGTGGGGGGGGGTTTCTTCTTCTTCGAACTTGATATTCATGAATGTGATCCGTTATAAAGAAACGTGAAAGTTATACGAATAACGGACTAAATTATAACGAGCCAAGTTAGATGAGAAAAAAAAATGTCGTAGAAAAAAAGAACTAACGGTTATTGTTTTTAATATCTCTCTCTTTCTCTCTCTCTCTCTCTCTCTCTCTCTCTTTCGAGATAAAAAAACACAAAATAAACTTAAAAAAGAAAATATATCATTTATCTCGAACGTCATGACCACTTGTTTCTATATTTGATATCACATTTTTTGTTACTTTTTCTTTTAATTATTAATGATAGTATATATTACGTTTTTCAAATGAACACACATGTATGATACCAACTTTTACTCGACAATTTATTAGAAATTTATATTCGATCCCGGAAAACGCGTTCGTAACAAATTATTATTAAAGAAAATAAGAAAAAAAAAAAAAAAGAAAAATAACATTCTGATTTACACGCATCATCGATAATTTCGCGTTCGTTTACTTTCACTCATATAAATGTGAAACACGGTTTCTATTACTGAATTATCTCGAAAATGTGTTTCAATTTAATTCGAGGGGTGGTGGAGGGGGGGGGTGAATATTAAAGAAATATTTGTAAAAAAGAAAAAAAAACCAATGTTGAAAGTTGTCGATGATTATCTTGGTTCTTGTATTAGACTTATTTGCATAAATATTTTTCATATAAATAAATTCACATTCGCGAATTGTGATCACGTGCGTGTATGTGTATCGTTCGATATTTTTTTTTGTTTTTGTTTTTTGTTTTTTTTTTTTTTACCACAAACTCTTTTCTCTTGGGATTTGTACAGTTGATGCGAAATAATAAATTGATGAAAATAAAGAAGAGAAAAGAAACAAAAAGAACGAATAAATTGATGATATAAACCAGAGTTTCTCAAACTTTCCCATTTGACGACGACCTCCTTTTTTATTCGAACAAATATTTTCGCGAGCCTATCTTATTTTTCTTCATTATCATAATCACATATACATATACTATCTACACACGTGTATGGTGATCCTTTTTTAAACTGGTTTTTCTTGAGGTAATATTCGATTCAATGTTAAGTTTCCACGAATTTTTTGTTTAAATAATTTTTTACTCAAATTTTATTCGTTCGTCGCGCAAGTTACACTTTAAAAAACAAAGTACTTTTCGTTATAAACAATTTAATCTAACGTTGTTTTACATATATTTACATCACTGCGTTATCTCGTATTTTACAGTTGTTACCACATACAACTATGTGTATCAACGATTTAATACTAATGCATTTATGAAAAAAAAAACCATATATATATAGATAATATAACATGATTTTTTCGATAAATTAAAATGTAAAAAGTAAAACAAAAAAGAACAACAATTATTCAGCTCAAAATTATGAATTATTTCATATTTGTTTAGCACGAATTAATGAAATAATAATATAAATGTATAAAAAGTAAGTTTTATTTTTTATTTTGTTAAAATATTGTCATACGTATCATCCGAGGTTTTTCAAAGTATGTGACCTTGAAGAATATATTATTAAAAAAATATTTCATTGAATTTTTATTCTAATACACGAGAGAGATATTTATATAAGATCGATACGATAAAGGATATAAACAATTTGTCGAGGTTGCATCTTATGGTGGTGGTCATGGAGAAAAAAACAGGTTTCCCAATGGCGCCTACGCCATTTATTGTCTTCCCATCGATTATTTGATCCTCATCGACCGGTTCTAACAAGTAAACAGCAGGACGAGGGACACTCGAGAACGATCTGTTTTCCTTTTAAATATATTCTTCTATTTTATATTTAAATACCATGAATAATTTTTAATTTCCCATACCACATACACACATACAAATACACGCATCAACAATTTTTCTTTTCTATATTTCGTTCGAATTCTTGAAAAAAATCAAATACAATTTCTCGTTTGTTTGAAATTAAATTGAAAAGTATTTTATTATTATTTTATTTTACAAAGTATATATATAAATATGTTTTTTTCACAAAGATTTAACAATAAAATTGAACCGATTATTTATTCAATTTATTATCTTATTTTTTTTCTTGTATAAAAGTAAAAATTCATAAAATTATCCATAAAACGTTCTCGTATCATTTATTATTTCAATATTTTTGTTTAAATGGTTTAATTCGAACGTAATTTGTGTATATTACCGATATCATTTTAATATTTTGTCTTTTAAATTATTATAATATACAATTTAACGAATATACCAACAACAATTCTTTAAGAAGAAACCTCATTTTCTTATCTTAAAAAAAAAAATTAAAATAAAATATATATATAAATTTGTTTATTGTTTTCGAAGAGAAATTGGACGAGAACATATTTTTATACATTGAAGTTTAATTTTGTTCTTATATTATTTTTTTTTTTTTTTAAACACGATTAGGTTCGATACCACCATTCTACAGAGAAGTTTACGAGAAGATCTGTTCACCGACATGTGGTAACGTCGAACGTGAAGTTTTTAAATCCCTTCTCGTGAAATCTCAACTGAGCAGCTCAATTCTCAGTCAGGTAAGCGAATAGTATATCGTCATTTCTACTTTCATTCTTTCTTTCTCTTCCTGACATTATTAGGAATTATCCAAGCTGCAAGAAAAAAAAAAAAAAAAAAA